CCAGGGTGCAGGGAGAACAAGACCCTCTTTGTCATCCCACTTCCTTATTCTGTAGGAGCATCACTGGTTCTCCACTCCATTCAAAGGGGAAATAGAGTCTGGGCCCCGTGCAGTTGGAGGAGAAACAAGGCCCATTTTAGCTACTACTGTATGCCTGGTACAAGACAGGCTCTTCGTGCCTTCGTGAGTACCACGTTGTTTCAGATGCACGGTCACCTAGGGGAAGGTCTTTTTCTCCAGCTTGTATTGAAGGCCATTGAGGCCCAGAGTTAAAGTCACATAGCTGGTAAGAGTCAGAACGGAACTCCAAGCACCCCTAACCACTGCCCCTCTCTGCCCCCTGTCTTGTAGCTGAGCATCAGCGTCTTCTGGCTGTCCATTCTCTTTCCAGAGCTCAGTCCACCCCTGGGCTCCAGTCCTGGCTGACTTTCTTCCCCTCAGTGGTGGATGGCAAATCAGTACCTCCAGTCCTAAGAGAATCATACCCATTGAGTGTCCTCTGCCCCATCAAAGTCAACAAATCCAAAATGGATCCCAGCCCCTTTCCTCTACCCAGACTCTCATTTCTGTCCTTGGCTAGAAACTCTGCTTTGATTCTCTCGACCCCTCTCAGCCTCTGTTGAATAAAGCTCAGCTTCTGCTGAGGGGCCCAGGCAGTGTAGAAGGGGCCCAGGCTTTGGTCTCAGCTGGCCTGGCTGGATCGCAGTCCCTTACCGCCCAGTCGTGTGCCTGGGAACAAGTTGCTCAACGTCCCTGAGCATCTGCATACGATCACACAGACCTCAGAGGCTGTCTAGTCGGTTAGGTGAGATCAGGCCGGTAAATCAATCCGTTGGGCACCTAGTTCACAGTGAGCGCTCAACAGTGGTGGCTCTCACCCCACCCCATCCCTCCTACTTTCAAAATGTCACAGCCTACCCAGCCATCCCAGTTTCCCTCCCCAACTCTGCCCTCTTCGAATCTTTCCCAATTTCCCAGAAGCCTCCTAGCTAGTCTCCACGATCCCACCCCTCCCAGCCTCCCACCCACCGCAGCCCATAGGAACCACCCTGAAGACCCTCTGTCATCTCAGCCCCACCCTGTTCAGAGCCTACAACAGCATTTCTCTAGAGCTAGTTTAACCCTAAAGATCCTTTGGGCAACTCTGACCAGCTCTGGTTCTGGCCTTTAGGGCCTTCCACCCTTCCTGCTTGATTTCAGTGACTGGGACTCCCTGCTCCAAGCCTAGCCACAGGCTGTACTCCCCTTACCAAAACCCCAGGGGAGGCCCCCAAGGGAGAGGCAGGACTCAAGGCCACTGGGCCTCCCAGGATGGAGACCAGGCAGATACTGCCCCAACAGTACATCAAGGCATCTCTAGGAGAGCAGGATTGACCAGTGCTAAAACCCATCATCAGGGAGCCCTCTATCTGCCCTTGGAGGCACTTATGTTGCTCACTTAGGTGAGCAACCGTGAGGCAGACAAGCCAGTGAGATGTCTGGGCAGGAGCACCTGTGCTGGGGAGAGCCAGAGAGGGAAGCACGGCTCCCAGGGCCCAGGCTGGGCTGATGGCAGCATCGTGATGAATGTTGCTGAATGAATGATGAACACCTGCCTGCCCTCTCCCTCCAGAGCACTTGTGAAACGATGCCAAACCACTCTGAAACCATCAGCCACACTGTGAACGTGCCCTTGCAGACAGCCCTGGGCACCTTGGAGGAGATTGCCTGCTGACACCTCGGGCTACCCAGCACCCTTCAAACAGACCTTGAGGCCCAAGACCCAAGACAGGGGACAGCAAGCTCAGGTGGGACGGCCCCTGGCAATGGAAAGCAGCAAGAGCCCCCTATGCACACATTGCAAACTCTGCCAAAACCTCGCTCCGGCCACGTCTGCCATGATGCGTCCTCGGGCCCCACGTGCATCCCTCCTAGGAGAGATGAGCCACTCTGGAACTGTCCAAGAACCAACCTGCCATCACATCTCACTGCCAGATGTATAAAGCACCTGCATGCTCAGACTTCTTATGGCGCCATCTCCACGTCTGTCTTGTACATGACATTCCTCCATGCGGTTTTCAGCATTCACTCTGCTGCCTGTGCAGCGGGACCAGACACCAGCCCCAGAGTCACCACGAGGCCATGCTGGAGCCCGAACTGCACAATCAAGAAGGAAACCGCAGAACTCTCTTCTACATTCAGGCCCTGTGTAGTTTGTGAAAGTTCTTGACCTGCCCACAAACCCCTGTCCCTCGAGCTGGCCCATCAGGCTCCAGCACCCACCTCCCTCCCCGTCCCCAGCGCCTGCAATGGCGGCTCAGCAGCCTGGGTGACTCCGGTGTTCATCCGCGGCACCCACGTCATTCTTCTCTCCCTGTGACACAGCTTGTACAGTCTGATTCTTTTTCTTTGGGGGGCTTTTTTGTTTGTCTTTTGGACATTTGTTTTGTTTTGATTTTTTAATGATTTTTGGTTTTGTTGTTCTGAGGTTTGGTTTGTTTTTTCCATTTTCTTTGGCATTTATTTATTCGTGCTTCAAATCACGGTCATATTAAAAGCTGGTCTTGTGGAAACGGCTGAGTCATTTCTGCCTTTTCTTCACATCCGGGGCTCTCTCCCCAAGGGGTTAGGAAAGGATGAGATCTGCCAGGTCAGAAACTACAGGTGATGTCTATCCGAAGTTTTGTGCAACAGCATTTCCTTTACAGAATACGTACTCTACGTGCTTATTCTAAGTTCTCAAAATGATTGATCATAACCATGACAATGACTTCACAGCCCACTCACAGATCACAGCCTGTGTCCTGAAGGACACTGCCCTAGAAGGTAGGCATGTGGCATGACAGAGTTGGAGGAGGCTAGGAATGCCATCCAGACCAGAAAGCCACTAAGGAGACCCTGCTTCCCTCCATATTTGTCTGTGCCTGACTCCTCCTGACTCGTCAATGAATTCAGGCTAGACAAAGCCCCCCACCCATGCCTCCCTCCCACACACCGCCTGTCTGACCCTTCCTCCCCACTTCCCCATCACCATCGAGCTGACCTGCCTTGTCCCTCCCGCATTCATGTTTATGTTCTACCTTCCTCTCCTGAACTCCTGAGAGGATGTCCAAGTGGGATGGGAAGTTGAGGGGTGTCTTTGGGAAGGAATGGGAGGTTGCCTTTTTAAGCCTCCTTGTGCAAGAGAGAGCTTCTTGTTCAGGCAGAATCCTTGTCCCGGTGGCATCATGCCAGTTTCATAGCAACAGCCCCTGTAGCATATCCTTTGAATGACCCCCCGTGACCCCGTCACTCCCATCTCAGGGTCTTTCCCAAGTAGTTGAAGAAAGTCCTGTCGTGGCTTGTACCTTCTCTCTCACGCACAGATGCATAGAAAGCACTGACTAGACCAGGGATTCAACGTTCTCATCCCTGCTCTTCCATCCCACCTCCTTGTCTATATCTATCTATCATCCCTCTATCTCCTTCTTAACCTTCTCACACGGGAAAAGTTATTTTCCCAGTGTGATAAATTGCAGAGTCTCATGAGGATTTAGGAGCCGTGGCCACACAGCCTTCTTCTCTCAATAACTGTATGACAATGGATATGAGACCTGGTACCTCTCTTAGGCCAGCTCCCTCCATTTAGGGATAAAGATAAGCCTTACCTGTGTGAAGGGAAAATGCAGGACCAGATGATCTGAGAGCCCTCAGACTTGAAGTGCTATGACAGCCTTGCCTTCCTCACACAGTGGGACAAGTCACACCAGTCCACACTCACACATTAGAATGGCCAGGAATAAGGACTTTAGGGGCAACTGGACCAGAGCACCCCTGTGATATCTTTTCCCAAGCACTCTCAGTTGAGTTGTCCAAGCTCTTAGCAAAGCTGGTTTTCAATTCTTAGCCACAGAGTGCAAAGTTGCTGGGAAGGGCCCTGTGTTATTTTCTGTCGTTGTCATAGCAAATTATTACTAATCTAGTGGCTTAAAACACAGATTAATTATCTTAAAGTTATGGTGTCCAAAGGCTGACCCAGGTTTCCCTGGGAAAAACTCTTAAGTGTCAGCAAGGTTACTCTTAGGGGAGAATTCAGCTGAATTCCTTGCTTCTAGCTTCTACAAGCTACATGCATTCTTTTTTTTTTTTAGAATTTTTTGCTATAAGGCACATGCACTCACTAGAGAGACAGAGAGAAATAGAGAGACAGACAGAAAACAAGAAATTACCCTCCGGGGGGTATGGCCATGTGACAATCCCTTCTTCATTCTCCTCTTGGGATCTTGGGCACTCATGCACACATACACAGTGTGAGTTTCAAGCCACCAGATCTGGTACTTGAATAGCCGTCAGCCATATGGGAGTCCAGCCACGTAACCATTACAACATCTCCTGGTCCCAAGGCCACCCACATTCTTTGGCTCATGGCCAGACATGATGGGCCAAGTCCCCCTCACATCATGTCGCTCTGACCTGACATAGTCACATCTCCCTGTAACTCTGGCTTCTCTCCTGCTTTCCTCTTCCATCTTAAAGGACATCATGCCTATCACACAGTTCAGAAACTTCATCTCCTTTCAAGGTTATTAATATTATCACATTGTTAAAGTCTTTTTTTAAGGTTTTTGTTATAGGGTATGTGCTCTCAATAGAAAGACAAAGAGAGAGCAAGAGGGAAAGTGAAAAATCACACACGCACACCCAAGGGGTATGGCCACAGTGCAATTTCTTCTCCTCCGTTCTCCTCCCAGGATTTTGTGCATACATGCATATGCACCTGGTGTGATTTTCAAGCCACCACGTCTAGGACTTGAACCACAGTCAGCCATGTGGAAGTCCAAGACCTTAACCACCATACCACCTGCTGGCCCCCTCCAAAGTCTTCATTTTAAATTTATTCATGTATTTTTTTTCCATGAGAGAGAGAGAAGGAAAGAGACAGAGACAGAGAGATAGGCACTTCCAACGGGTCTTCACACCATGCTCCACTGCAGTCTCAGCTAGTCTGGAACATGAATACCAACATAATGAGTGCACTCAGAGAGGTCTTTTCCCATGTCGGTCCAGTTGGCTGCTCACCACCTGGCTTCTTCGGAATCTCTTTCACCATGTAAGATCACATATTCACAGGTTTCAGGGACTAAGATGTGAGCATCTTTGGGGAACATTATTTTGCCAACAAGCCCTTCGGACCTCATTTTCCAAGTGAGCAAATCTGAGAGGGGAGAGACTAGCCCATCGTCCTGCCATGAGCTATATTCTAAGCTCCTGGACCAGGATGACCAAGTAAAAATGATGGAAACATTCATTTCCCAGACTTCACCCCAAGAGCAAAGTTGCTCTCCTGAGACAAGCTCACTCCTTACCGCATCAGCTGCAAAGTGTCCTGCTGGTGCCTAGACTGTCCAATGCCAAAGAACAGGGATCTGAAGGGAGTCTCAGACCGTTCCCACCAGGGACAAGAGCCAAATGAAATGTCTATTCAGTTCCTTGGGAGTCTCTTTGATGGTCCTGCCTTGTTCCAGTTTAACAGCTTCATAAATTCTTTAAAAATCTATAACTGAAGTTGTAATTTGAACTGCTTCATTGGATTTCTGGCTTATTTTTCAGAAAATAAAAGTATCAGAGACCAGTAGATGGCATAAAGATTACATTGCTAAATTCCCATGTAGTCAACTGACCATGGTTCGAGTCCCAGACGAGTGACTTAAACGCAGGTCGCAAATGCATGCATGCCCAAGATCATGAGAGATGGGAGGAGAAGGGATTGTGGCATGGCCATCCACCCAGGGTGTGATTTCTCACTTTCTGTCTCTCTGTCTCTGTCTCTCCACCAAGTGCATGCACCCTCTAGCAAAAATTGCTATAATTAATTAATTAAAATACATAAATCAGATCTATTTGTGATGGAGCAAAGCCTATTCGAACACATTTGGATTATTTCAGGGCTCACATACACATGTGTGCCTTCTGATTTAGGGATTCTGGCTTAGTTCACCTTGAACCGGGTCCACACCACCTATTTAAAGAAAAATAAAGGATAGGAAATTCGGAAGGGCAAACCAACAGCCAGCTGCTGATCATTAATTGATTATTAACAAAGAACACCATCTACGTTTCCAAGAGTGGTGGGGTATTTTTTAGGATCATTTCACACCAGTAGCTATGTGTACAATCACTTCCTTAATGAAGACCTGGAGAGGCTGGGTGGACAGAGGACACTCAGGGATGTGTCACTATTTCAGAAGTGGTCCAAATGATGACATGAAGACCAGGAGTTTGGAATAATCACAAGTTCAAGCCACAAGGTTGAATTCTCAGTGACCTCAGAGGTTAGATTGACTAATTAGTTAACTAATTCATGGCACACGCCCTCACAGAGTGTTTGAGGTTTGCTGTAGGTGAGGAGCGGGAAAAGCATGGGTGTTTCTGTGAGTATCCATGCAGGGCACTGAGCTGGATGCTTACATGCTGTCGCTTTGTTGTCTTTGGCAGAGAGATGCTAAAGTTATCTTATTTTCCTCTTTAAACTATTTTTGTGTGAGTTTTAACCATGAACACGCCTAGGGGAAAATTTACGGAGCCACAAGCATTGACAAGGGGGAGGCAGAGTCCACAGATCTCTGGAGGGACTAGCAGTTGGCATAATGGCTATGTTGCTGGACTCCCATGTAGTCAACCGCAGTTCGAGTCCCAGACCTGGTGGCTTAAACTCATGCCAGGTGCATGTGCGTGCATGCCCAAGATCCCGAGGGGAGGATAGAATGGAGAAGGGATTGTGGCATGGCCATCCCCCTCAGGGGGTTATTTCTCACTTTCTGTCTCTCTGTCTCTCTCTGCTCTGTTTTTCTGGTGAGTGCATGCGCCCTATAGAAAAATAAAAAAAAAACCTCTGGAGAATGGCTCTCCGTGAACTGAGAGAGAGGATGCCAGAGGCAGGCCATGCCTAAAAGATGGAAGATGGTCCTGGTGCACATGGGTAATGTGATTCCCCAGGTACAGCTCAGCCCAGATCAGGAAAAACCTGGAGATCTCTTCCTCAGCTTAATTTTGAGAAACAAACTCTGGACAAGCCCCCCATATATGTGCTCCCCATGATGGAAAAGAAAGGAGGCTTGGAGAAGGCTCGGGACTGGCTTCTAGTGGGGTTGGAAGAGTGCAGCCAGTCCTGATCCCCACAGGGCAGGCCATTCGCTGCTTCCCAGCACACATGGGAAGCCAGCCAGGGAATAAAGGAGAGGTAAAGGCCAGAGGGACACGGGCCCGCCATTCATTTGGCTTGTATGGATCGACTGTCTGCATGCGCCAGGCGCTTGCCCTCGATAAATTCATCATGCGTGCAGGACATACTGACAAGTAAACAGATGACTAAGAAAGATGGATCTGAGTTTTTCTGTCGTGGCTGAGTAAAAGAGAGCAGCATATGCAAATACCTGGGCTCACAGGGTCAGAGAAGGCACAGTTCACGGGA